GTTTCTCAGTGTCTCACTCTCGCTGCAATTGTTTCTCAGTGTCTCACTCACTCTCACTGCGATTGTTTCTTGGCGTCTCACTCACTGCACTTATTTTCCAGTTTTTCAGCATTTTTCATTATTTCTGACCCTTTGTGATTCTTACCTGACCACAGTTGGGAAGAGCTCCACTGTGTACAGTAAAGCCGTCGTGAATGCAGCCTCTGAACTTCCTTTGGCAAAGATTGCGATTACCAGCTGTAGAATTGGGTGGTCTGTTAGTGGAGAACAGATATACAGTACAGAGGTAAGCTGTGTGCACCATGTGGAGTCTGTTTAACAGGGACTGTGTTGGAGACCCTCATCAGATCGAGCAGTATGACTGTATAGAGTAGCCTCGATCACCTTTCAACTTCACTGAATCTTCTTCAAGGAATATGGAACATTTTGCTTCACTGTCTTTCCCCTGAGAGAGCTGGATCTGCTGTTTCTACCCTGCAGTTTCTAGTTTAATTTCTGATTGCTGGTGTCTGCAGGATGTTCTGTTTAATTTTACCCAGCAATAAGAGGGGGAATAATGATAGAATCCCTCCGGTGTGAAAGCCGGCCATTCAGCCCATTGCATCCACACCAACCTTCTGAAGAAATTCCCAGCCATACATGTATGCATGTGTGCATGTACCGTGTGTGAGATTTTGTATGTGTCTGCATGCACACCTATTTGCCTGTGCTCATACATGTTTATTTGTGTGTGTGCACGTGTGTGAGTGATTGTGTTGGTGTGTGTGTTTCTGTGAATGAGTGTCTTTGTGTGTGTACGTGTGTCTGCCTGCATGCACACTTGTGTGTCTGAGTGATTGTGTTTGTGTGTGAACGATTGTGAATGTGTGTGTGTGTGTGCGTGTGCGTGTGAGCGTATGAATGTATGTGTCTGTTTGTGCGTGTCTGTTTGTGTGTGTGTGTGTGAGAGAGAGTTTGTATATGTGTGTGCGTGTGTTTGTGTGTATGTGTGGAAGTGCCGGTGTTGTGAGTTTTGACCCCAGGTTATTTGAAGATACAAGCTTTTAGAGTCTCACTCCTTCTTCACGTGTTACTGAGAGAGGTGGCATCAGGCACAGAATTTATAAGCAAGAGATCAAAGGGTCATAGAACTGATGTGAATGTGTTGAACAAACCTAAGATGGCTGATAAATCTTTAATCAGTTAGAAAGGATTAATATGCAAATTCACAATTTTCTTTTGAGTCCCTGCCCTGAGATAACTAAAGGTTTTATCAATTCCCTCAGTATACCAGAGGTGACATTCCAGGTCAGACAATGCATCTTAGGTGTGAGGCCTTGTTTAGAATCTGGCTGTGTATCAACTTGGTGTCAGACTGGTTTTATTTCCAAAGTAGGAATTTATAAAATGCCACATTGACTGTGGATAGGTGGGAGGGAGAGGGAGTGTGTGTGTGTGCGCACACTTGAGAGAGAGTGTGGGTACAAGATAGGGTCTGTGTCAGTGTGTGAGTATGTATGTGTGAGTGTGAGTGAGTACCGTGTGGTAGGGTTGCCTGTATTGCAACTTGAACCTAAAACCCCGGTTGAGGCTGTCCCCATGGGCACCGAACCTGGCTATCAGCCTCTGCTCGGTGACTCTCTCTCTCCCTCTCCCTCTCCCTCTCCCTCCCTCCCTCCCTCCCTCCCTCAGGCATATAAAACTATGGGGTAAATTTGCAATTGCAGATATACTTTATTTTGTTCAAAAAACACACAATGTGTAGACAGTCAATGTGGCATTTTATAAATTCCTACTTTGGACTCCAAGTTGATACACAGCCAGGTTCAAAACAAGGCCTCACACCTAAAATGCATTTGTGACCTGAGATGTCATCTCTGGTATACGGAGGGAACTTATAGAACCTTTAGAGGATCTGAATTGGTGCAGGCTTGGAGGGTCGAAGGGCATGTCCCTGTGCTGTAATTTTCTTTGTTTTTTGTTCTTTGCTCTTTGTTTGTTCTTTAGTTATCTCGAGGCAGTGACTTGAAAGAAATTTGGGAATTTGCATATTAATCCTTTCTCATTCAGAAAGTAAGGAGTCATGGGATTCAGGGAAATTTGTCTGTCTGGATACAGAATTGGCTGTCCAACAGAAGACAGAGGGTGGTAGTAGATGGAAAGTATTCAGCCTGGAGCTCGGTGACCAGTGGTGTGCCGTAGGGATCTGTTCTGGAACCTCTGCCCTTTGTGATCTTTATAAATGACTTGGATGAGGAAGTGGAAGGGTGGGTTAGTAAGTTTGTTGATGATACGAAGGTTGGTGGAGTTGTGGATAATGTGGAGGGCTGTTGTAGGTTGCAACGGGACGTTGACAGGATGCAGAGCTGGGCAAAGAAGTGGCAGATGGAATTCAACCCAGAAAAGTGTGAAGTGATTCATTTTGGAAGGTTGAATTTGAATGCAGAATACAGGGTTAATGGCAGGATTCATGGGAGTGTAGAGGAACAGAGGGATCTTGGGGTCCACGTCCATAGATCCCTCAAAGTTGCCACCCAAGTTGATAGGATTGTAAAGAAGGCACAAGGTGTGTTGGCTTTCGTTGGCAGGGGAATTGAGTTTAAGAGCCGTGAGGTTATGCTGCAGCTCTATAAAACCCTGGTTAGACCACACTTGGAATATTGTGTTCAGTTCTGGTCACCTCATTGTAGGAAAGATGTGGAAGCTTTAGAACGGGTGCAGAGGAGATTTACCAGGATGCTGCCTGGACTGGAGGGCAGGTCTTATGAGGAAAGGTTGAGGGAGCTAGGACTTTTCTTGTTGGAGCAAAGAAAGATGAGAGGTGACTTGACAGAGGTGTACAAGATGATGAGAGGCATAGATAGAGTGGATAGTCAGAGACTTTTACCTAGGGCGGAAATGACTATTACGAGGGGGCATAATTTTAAGGTGATTGGAGGAAGGTATAGGGGAGATGTCAGAGGTAGGTTCTTCACACAGAGAGTGGTGAGTGTGTGGAATGCACTGCTGGCAGTGGTAGTGGAGGCAGATACTTTAGAGACTTTTAAATGACTCATGGATAGGCACATGGAGGATAGTAAAATGTAGGGTATGCAGAGTAGTTTGATCTTAGAGTTGGATAATAGGTCAGCACAACATCGTGGACTGAAGGGCCTGTGCTGTGCTGTGCTGTTCTATGTTCTAACTGATCAAAGATTTAACAGCCATCTTAGGTTTTTTCAACACCGCTTCAGTTCTATGACCTTTTGATCTTATGCTTATAAATTCTGTGTCCGTTGCCACCTCCCTCAGTAACACCTGAAGAAGGAGCAAGACTCTGAAAGCTTGTGATTTCAAACAAAGGTATTGGATTATAACCTGGTGTTGTGTGATTTTTGACTTTTTGAGTCTGTTTGTGTGTGTGAGTGAGTGTGTGTGTGTTTCTGTGTGTGTCTCTGTGCGAGTGTGCGTGCGAGAGAATGAGTGTGCATGTAAGAGAATGAGTGTGTGTGCGCGCACGCAAGAGTGAGCGTGTGCGAGTGTGTGTCTGAGAGAGTGTGCGAGCGTGTGCGAGTATTCGTGTTTTACACCATGCCAGATGAGTTTGTTTTTAGGATCAGACCCAAGGTTGTGCTGCGACTGAAATGCTGCCGTAGTTATACTGCGGTATGAGGAGTGGGCAGTTCTCTCACCCTTAGTCATGAAGAGGTTGAAAGTCATTAGGAGACTGGTCAAAATGAGGAACCAGCCTTGGCAGCATCTCCGGCCAATCCATTTCAGCAATATGTAAGTGATGAGTTTTGCTGGTAACTCAATGGCTCCGTAGATAAATTGCATTAAATACACATTAAAGCCATAATCGTTCATGGAGAAACTGATTGAATAATATGAGAACGCAGTACCAAACCTGTTGATTAAACAAAACAAATCAAGGGTTATCACACAAGCCAACACGGGAAGACAGTGATGGTTTAGTATTGTCACCCTCCATGGGCTCACCTCTCTCTTGCTGTGTTTTATCCTCCAAACCCATTCCATACAGGCTGGTATCCTGTCACCAAGTCACCCTTTGTTTATACATGGAGAGTCCTTGACACTGATCCAGCTCCCTCAGAGTGAGCTCTCAGAGTGAACAGGATGTCTGACTCTCCTTGTCTATCAGCCAGGGCTTCCGGATTGGGGCTGTTAATCTGGTCCATCGGGGAACTAATTTTCTATAAGGTTCACCTGGCTGACTTTGTTACAGTCGGTACACCCATCAACCTCCTGGGATATTTATGCTTCTTTCAATCTGGTCTTTGTCACGTTCTTAATTTTAATTGCTCCAAGATTGGCAATCATGCCTTAAGCTGTCTGGGCTCTAAACTCTGGAATTCTCACGGTCATTGCATCCTTCAAATGCTCATCAAATCTACTTCTTTGACCAGATTGTGGACACCTGCCAGAATATTTGTTCTGGTGACTTGATGTCAATCTTGTTTGACATTTAATCTATGAATAACTGAGGGATATTTTACTATCTTTTGTCACTACCTAACTGTAAACCACTTATTATTTTGAATGTGAGTTGTGAGTGATGTTAATGTCACTCAATAATGTCAGTTTACAGAACATACCAAATAATCCCAGTGCAGAAAGTCAGCTTCCTCATCCCAGGACTCTTCACAAGGTGCCAGAACCAATATTGGTCATGGCCTTCATCAATGTCAATGATCTTGTCGAGAACCTGAAACCAGAACAAGAGCAGATAGGGGAGCTGATGGCTAGTGGTATTATCGCTAGTCCATTAATCCAGAAATTTAGCTAATGTTGTAATTCAAACCCGCATTCAAATCCCACCAGAGCAGCTCTTAAAACAGCTTTTGTCATAGAGTTGAAGTCCATCTTAGAACATATTTGTACCCAAACCTCCAGAAAGTCTGAAAACCAAGACAGCTCTCTCTCTGTCTCTCTTTCTCTCTCTCTTTCCCACCCTCTGTGAATGGAAGAAACCCATCACTAACCCATCTGGTTCACTAATGTCCTTTAGGGAAGGAAACTGCCATCCTTACCTGGTCTGGCCTACGTGTGACTCCAGACCCACAGCAATGTAGTTCACTTGGAACTGCCCTCTGAAATCATGACAAAGTCTCAATAAAGAAATGAAACTGGACGGATCACGTGGGATCGACCTGGGCACTGGAAAAGACAGCGGCAGAAACAGCCCTATTGACCCTGCAAACTCCTCCTCACTAACATCTGGGGGTTAGTGCCAACATTGGGAGAGCTGTCTCACAGGCTAGACAAGCAACAGCCTGATATAGTCATACTCACAGAATCATACCTTACAGACAATGTCCCAGACACCACCATCACCATCCCTGGATATGTCCTGTCCCACCGGCAGGACACACCCAGCAGAGGTGGCAGCACAATGGGATACAGTCGGGAGGGAGTTACTCTGGGAGTCCTCAACATTGACCCCGGACCCTATGAAGTCTCATGGCTTCAGGTTAAACATGAGCAAGGAAACCTCCTGCTGATTACCACATACTGTACTCCCTCAGCTGATGAATCAGTCTCTCCTCCATGTTGAACGACACTTAGAGGAAGCACTGAGGATGGCAAGGGCACAAAATGTACTCTGGGTGGGGGATTTCAGTGTCCACCACCAAGAGTGGCTCAGCAGCAGTACTACTGATTGAGCTGGTTGGGCCCTAAAGGACACAGCTGCTAGACTGGGTCTGCGGCAGATGGTGAGGGAACCAACAAGAGGGAAGAAACATACTTGACCTCGTCCTTATCAATCTGTCAGCTGCAGTTGTAAATGTCCATAACAGTATTGGAAAGAGTGACCATCGCACAGTCTTTGTGGAGACGAAGTCCCACCTTCACATTGAGAATACCCTCCATCGTGTTGTGTGGCACTATCACCGTGCTAAATGGGACAGACTTCGCACAGATCTAGCAGCTCGAGACTGGGCATCCATGAGGTGCTGTGGGCCATCAACAGCAGCAGTATTATACTCCAGCATAATCTGTAACCTCATGGCCCGGCATATCCCCCACTCAACCATTACCGTCAAGCCAGGGGATCAACCCTGGTTCAATGGAGAGTGCAGGAGGACATGCCAGGAGTATTTGGAATAAAGTGAATGAACTGATGGAGGTATATAAGGAGGTAAAAGTCAGTCATAGCCCTGAAGATTGAGATAAATTGAGAAATTCAGTGAAGTAGGAATAAAGAGATAATAAAGAGACATAAAATAAACCGTGAGGACAAATTAGTGTTGAAGATAAAAACTGTCAACAAGAGCTTTGTTAAATATATAAAAAGGAAGACTGAGTTCAGAGTGAAAATAGGCTACTTTGAAGATACTTCAAACATCCAGTTAATACAATGGAATACAGGGAGGAATTAAGTACCATTCACTAAAGAAGTAGTATTTGACTAACTAATGGGGCTATAGGTAGATGAATACCTGATACTGATGACTGACAACAGAGGATCCTGTAAGAAGTAGCTCAGAGATAACAAGGTGTAGAGCTGGAGGAACACAGCAAGCCAGGCAGCATCAGAGGAACAGGAAAGCTGACGGTTCGGGTCTAGACCCTTCTTCAGAAATGGGGAAGTAGGGTGGGGGGGGAGGTGGGAGAGAACTGAAATAAATAGAGAGGAGAGGTGGGTCTGGGGAATGTAGGTGGGATGGTGATAGGTAAGTACAGGTAGGCAGTGGTGGGGATTGGTCAGTGAGGTGGGAAGAACGGCTAGGTGGGAGAGAAGATGGACAGGTTATGTCAGGTCAAGGAGGCAGGGATGGGAGGGAGGGTTGGTCATGGAATGAGGTCAGGGGTGGGGAGATTTTGAAATTGCTAAAATCCACATTTAGGCCATCAGGCTGTAGGCTCCAGAGGCGGAATATGAGGTGCTGTTCCACCAGTTTGCGGGTGGCGTCGTTGTGACACTGGAAGAGGCCCAGGATGGACATGTCACCCAGGGAGTGGGAGGGGGAGTTGAAGTGGTTTGCGAGAGGAAGGTGTTGTCATTGGTCGCAAACCGAGCGCAGGTGCTCTACAAAGCGGCCTCTAAGCCTCCGCTTGGTCTCACCGATGTAGGGGAGGCCACATTGGGAGCAGCAGATGCAATAGACCACATTGACGAATGTGCAGGTGAACCTCTGTCTGATGTGAAAGGTTTGTTTGGTGCCTCGAATGGAGGTGACGGGGGAGGTGTAGGGGCAGGTGTAGCACTTCCTGTGGTTGCAGGGAAAGGTGCCGGGTGTGGTGGCGCTAGTAGGGCTGTGGAGCAGATGAGGTGGAGGCGGAGGAATTGGGAATAGGAGATCTCATTCTTGCAGGAAGGTGGGTGAGAGGAGGTGTAGGCTAAGTAGCTGTGGGAGACAGTGGGCTTGAAATAGATGTCAGTTTTGAGGCAGTCACCAGAGATGGAGACAGACAGGTCCAGGAAGGAGAGAGAGGTATCAGAGATGGTCCAGGTGAACTTGAGGTTGGGGTGGAAGGTGTTAGTAAAGTGGATGAACTGTTCAAGCTCCTCGTGGGAGCACGAGGCGGTGCCGATACAGTCAACGATATAACGGAGGAAGAGGTGGGGTATCGGGCCAGTGCAGCTGCGGAAGAGGGACTTTTCCACGTAACCTACAAAGAGGCAGGCATAGCTTGGGCCCATGTGGGTTCCCATGGCCACGCCCTTAGTCTGTAGGAAGTGGGAGGTGTTAAAGGAGAAGCTGTTAAGGGGAAGAACGAGTTTGGTTAAGCGGATAACGGTGTCGGTGGAGGAGGACTGGCCGGGCCTGCGGGAGAGGAAGAAGCAGAAGGCTTTTAGGCCCTCTGTGTGGGGGATATGAGTGTACAGGGATTGGATGTCCATAGTGAGGATGAGGAGTTAGGGGCCAGGGAATTGGAAGTGCTGGAGGAGGTGGAGGGTGTGGGTGGTGTCACGGACGTAGGTAGGGAATTCCTGGACCAAGGGGGAGAAAATGGAGTCCAGATAGGTGGGGATAAGTTCGGTGGGGCAGGAGCAGGCGGAGACAATGGGTCGACCAGGGCAGTCAGGTTTCTGGATTTTGGGAAGGAGATAGAAGCGGGCAGTGCGGGTTGGGGAACGATGAGGTTGGTGGCTGTGGGTGGGAGATCACCTGAGGTGATGAGGTTATGGATGGTTTGGGAGATGATGTTTTGGTGGTCGGGGGTGGGGTCATGATCAAGGGGGTGGTAGGAGGTGGTGTCGGAGAGTTGGTGCCTGGCCTCGGCGATGTAAAGGTCAGTGCGCCATACTACAACTGCGCCTCCCTTGTCCGCAGATTTTATAGTGAGATTAGGGTGGGAGCGGAGGGCTGCATGTTCTGTGGGGGAGAGGTTGGAGTGGGTGAGAGGGGTGGAGAGGTTGAGGCGATCGATGTTGTGACGGCAGTTAGAAATGAAGAGGTCGAGGGAGGGTAGGAGGCCTTGGGGTGGTGTCCAGGAGGTTGGGATGTGTTGGAGAAGGGAGAAGGGATCTGTAGAGGGTGGGTTAGACTCCCAGTTAAAGAAATAAGCGTGAGGGGGAGGTGGCAGAAAAAGTGTTCGACATCCAGGCGTGAGCAGTATTCATTGATGTGTGGGCGGAAGGGAGTGAAGGTGAGTCCTTTACTGAGGACTGACCACTCATCCTCAGTGAGGGGGAGCTCTGGGGGGGGGTTGGTGAAGACTGGAGGCCTCCTCCAGTGTCACAGTGATACCACTTGCAAACTGGAGGAGCAGCATCTCATATTCCGCCTTGGGAACCTACAGCCCGATGGCCTAAATGTGGATTTTTACCAGTTTCAAAATCTCCCCACCCCCGACCTCCTCTCATGACCAACCCATCCCCACTTCCTTGACCTGACACAACCTATCTATCTTCTCTCCCACCTATCCGCCCCTCCCATCCCACCTACCAGTCCCCACCACTGCCTACCTGCACTCACCTATCACCATCCCACCTACCTTCCCCAGCCCCACCCCTCCTTTCTCTATTTATTTCAGTGCCCCCTTCCCCCTCCTCCATTTTTGAAGAAGGGTCCCAACCTGAAACAACAGCTTTCCTGCTCCTCTGATGCTGCCTGGCCTACTGTGTTCCTCCAGCTCCACACTATGTTATCTCAGAGTTAGTGGATGCACTGATTGTAACTTTCCAAAAGTTCATGGATTCTGGAGAAGAACTAGAGGATTGAAAACTGCCAATATGACACCCCTATTCACAAAGGGAGGGAGGCAAAAAGACGGTAAATACAGGCCAATTGGCCTAACATCTATTGTTGGAAAAGTATTGGAATCAATTATTAAGGAAGAAATAGCAGAACAGATAGGAAATCATAATCTCATCAAGCAGAGTCAGCGTAGCTTTGTGAAAGGGAAATCATGTGAATTTATTAGAATTTTTCAAAAGAACAAAAGAAGAACAAAAGTGAAATATGGCACAGGAATAGGCCCTTCAGCCCTCCAAGCCTGTGCGGTTCATCATGCCCTGACTAAAATAAAAAACAAACCTTCTACCCTTACTTGATCCGTATCCCTCTATTCCCTCCCTATTCATGTAACCATCCAGATGCCTCTTAAATGTCACCAACATACCTGTTTCCACCACCTCCTCTGGCAGTACATTCCAGGCTGCTACCACTCTCTGTGTGAAAAAGTTCCTTCGCACATCTTCCTTAAACTTTCCCCCTCTCACCTTGAACCTGTTCCCGCTTGCCATCAAAACTTCAA